AAGAAGTCGAGTCCATTTAGTGTAATAACACACTTTTTCTACCAGTACTTTCTAAAATTAGGAACCATTTGTCATTTTTATTGAAAAAATAGTCTTTTTCTGTCCTTTTTCGTTTCTGTAGAATCAGATGGAAGAATGCCAATGATTAAAAAAAAGAATGCCAGTGATAAGAGATGAGAAGTGAGTTCTAGTTTTGTTTCCTGAAATTTTGACTTACATTTTCTTGCTGAGAGTTCTTTCTTTCAGTTTAGGGGATTACTCAAGACAAAATAAGATGCATATGGAAAGAAAGATCTCTTAAATTGGATTTAATGCAGACTCATTAGTTGTGTGACCTCGTTGTTGTTTAGTTGCTAAGTCGTGTCCCACTCTTTGCGACCCCATGGACTTTAGTTCACCAGGCTCCTCTGTCCCTGAGATTGATGCTCCAGGCAAGAATACTAGAGTGGGTTGCCATTTCCTTCTCCAGAGGATCTTCCTGACCCAGGGATCAAACCTGCATCTCCTGCATTGGCAGGTGGATTTTTTACTACTGAGGTACCAGGGAAGCCCAGGTGACCTGATAAACCGACTTAAGCTCCATGGTACTTTTCTGCATCTGTAAAGTGGACAGAGACATTTCACACTTTAGCTTTTTATGAAGAATAAACGAAATGGTACATGTGGGTGCACGTGGCCTACAGGAAGCACTCAGTAAATGTTATTAATAAATCTTGCCCCCAGAAGACCTGTCCTAGAGGTTAAATTATCCTATCACCACTTTTCCAGATGAAATCTGATCTGGCTGTCTGCCTTTCTTCCCTCCTTCCTTTTCTGTCATCAAGCTGCTGGTAATTTTACTAAAATTTAACATTTGTGTGCTTGTTCCCTGAGACCTGTTTTCCTGTGAGGCGCACAGGTTGGTGAAGGGACTTTTTATTTTTTATTTTTTTTTTTTTAAATTTTTATTAGTTGGAGGCTAATTACTTTACATCATTACAGTAGTTTTTGTCATACATTGAAATGAATTAGCCATGGATTTACATGAAGGGACTTTTTAAAGCGCTGTCTTACTCTCGTCCATCTTAATTGCTTCTTGCCGCTGCCATCAGCTGGCTTGTGTTTCTTCTTGGGAAAGGTGAGAAGGGATTAAAGCAGAGGTACTGCCAGTGGAGCTGCTGGTCGGCTGGTTGCTGCCCTCCAGGTCTTCCATTCCCCGTTACTCTTTGAACTTCCCTGCAGCCTCCAGAGCTGGGTGTGGAAGAAATGCAGGGGAGGGGGCCTCGGGCCTCGCTCTCCTGGATGAGCAGCACCTGATCAAACACCTAAACTGAAATGGAAAAGGAAATCCTCTGTGGGCACAGTGCGGTTGCTGTAAATCCTTCTCGTCTTCTCTCAAATACTCAGGTATCTTATATGAAGCAGATTTAGTTTCAACAGACGAGTTGCTCAAGTGGAGGCTGTTGATAATTTTTTAAAAAAAGTATAAATATTTTATCTGGATTTTAGTAAATTTTGCCACCAACAAGTTTGTAGCTCTTGATGACTGTTTTTAACTTAATGAAATCATAGATTTGTGAAAATTGATGATTCTGCTAGTCGTTTCCTTCCTTTTCATTTCATGTGAAAAGTGGAGGTGGAAAATATAATTATGCAAGAATACACTGCATGTTTTCCACAACAGGTTTTGAGAGAACTTCTCAATTCCTTTTTTCCACTGCATCCACATCCTATGAGTTATATGGCAAGTGATAAAGATTTGTTAGTCTCGGGCTGACCATATCAGATCAAAAAGGAACTTCAGATATGACATAGTGTCCAGCCCTTCTCACTCCCCAGTTCTGGACACCCAAGAGTCAGTCTGATTATCCCAGGGTACTCAGTGAGATGTGACAGACCTAGGAATGGAAAGAACGTTTGATTTTCACCTTCTGCTCCTTGCAGAGACGGAATTGATCACTGGTGTGTCTTTGAGCCAGTGACATGCTACTGCTGTATGTTCAGACTTTGAGGTTACAAAACAAATGTTTCAGTAGCAGTAGACACCCCACCCTCCGACCACAGTGCTCACTGGCCTTTGTGTTCTGTTTGGGTTTTCAGTACACTTACTAGATGGTGTCCTGTTTCAGAACTTTGCTATAGGGCTTCAGGTAGGGTTCTGCCCTCACTAAAAAGCACCCAAATAGCACTGACCCATAAGAATGCTTAAATAATTTGGATAAGGTATTAGATAAATATCGAGGGAAAATCTAACTCATGAACAGAAACGCTGTAGTTAAAATAAAATTCAAAAAATATTTTTATACTTTATTTTCTGGAATCTTTAATAAGATACATCATGCCTATCGTATGAACAGACTATTAGCACTGGTTGCTTGTATTGAAGAATGTAGGCCTCTTTGTTTGAGTTTGCGTAAGCTCCAGAAGTTGTTGATGGACAGGGAAGCCTGGTGTGCTGCAGTCCATGTGGCCACAAAGAGTCGGACACCACTGAGCAACTGAACTGAACTGAGGCCTCCTTGTTGTGGCTGGAATGTGGAGTGGAGGGCACAGAGAGAAGGGAGATGTAAGTAATCTTGTGAATAATTACTCTTGTGAAAAGAGGTTGTAAATAATAAACATATTTTACTCTTTAAGTTCCCAAAATTAAAGGAAAAGAGACATATCCTCAAAACGAAGCTTCATAGGTCTCAGCTTTGGTTTGGATATAAAATGATTGGTTTCTGAGTTTCAAAATCCTAACAGAATAACTGCTCAGCAGTTCCAGATGTTTTTGATAAAAACTTGGAATTGTCAGATCAACAGCGAAAGCGCAGGACCACAGACTTTGTCTTCTGTGGCGAGTAGCGAACAGATCCAGAGGGACAGCAAAGCAGACTCGTGTTCCCCACCCAGGGCATGTGTTCCCTACCCAGAGGATTTGTTCTCCAAGAAGGAACAGAACACGCAATTACAGTTCCAAATCCTCTTAACATGTTTATGTGTACCGAACAACTAGGAAGTCTCAGTTTCCAGCCTGCAGCGCAAAGCCAACATCTCAGCAGAAATTAAAAAACTGTCTCAAAACCATAACCTGGGCCATTTCAGACAGTTGTATTACTGTGAAACATTTCTTTTAAACTTCTCGAAGACAGAGATTTTGTTTTCTGTTTCTTTTGTTTGCCTTTATTGCAAGGCAGTTTAAATGCAGATAACGCCAAATGTGGAGTATCTGTTCAATCAGTGTAGATTATCTGAATTGAAGTCAGTAGTTAGACAAGACTGGGAATAGAAAGGCTGTATGGTGATTAAAGCATCTATGATCCCTAGGGAGAAGCCTGGGAACCTTGGAAGCAGGAAACATTTGATTCTAATTAAAACAGAAGGGAGCGGCAGTGGGGAATAAACCATGCTGAGGACAGAGGGGAGGTGGCTCTGTCTTTCTGTGGGGAGGAGGGAGAGTTCTGAGTGACAGCTTGGTGAAAGTTCATACAGAAAAGATAATAAACCATCCATTTTTCCCTGCACCAAAACCTAAAGGATCTTTCCATTCGTATCCTAGACCACATAGTTTTCAAAGTCATCGTAAGTCGCCGGCCTGAGTTAGAATTTTATTTACCGCTTTCTACTCTCTCTCCAATCGTCTGTTTTCCATCGTCACTCTCATGAAAAGCAGCGTCTGGTTCAGTGTCCGCGTCGGCAGCGTCACAGTGTGATGCTCGCTGTGGGTGTATGGGGAAGGGGAGGGCCGGTCCACCCCAGCCCGCGGATGAGACCGGGGCGGACGGGCTGCAGGCTTTGAGCTGGCTGAGCCGCAGCCGCCGCGTGTCCGGGGGAGCAGGGGGGTGCGTCCTCGCGGGGTTCGCTGCCTCACTCCTCTGAGCTGGTCGGCCACTTGACGGCCTGGCCAGAGGACATGGTGACTCACCGGCCCGTCTCTGCCTCTCTTATTGCTCCTGGAAAGCCTCCCTGTCAGCTCTCTTGGTGACACTGATGGAAACTTCAGTATTAAATCTCTTCTCCTCTGGCTTACGGCGTTGGAGCCCCCTCACCCACACTGGCAAGGCCAAGCCAAGGACTCCTCCTGTGGCCCCTTGAGGGGAACGTCAGCAGCCTGACGCTCCTGGAAGGAGAACATCCTTTCAGTTTTTCCATCTCCACTCTCCCCCAACCCCACCCGCCGTGTCCTCCTCAGTTCTTTCTATTCCTTTCCCCCCCCAAATTGTTTCTGACACCAGGGAGAAGACGAGTTCTGGAGCAGGTCTGCCCCTGGCGATCATGGCTAGGGTGGGGCGGGAGAGCGCCCGGGTGGCAAGAGAGCGGGTGTGTGGAGCAATGGAGCGCCACGCGGGCTCAGTCACGAGAGCGGGAGAAGCCCCCACGCAGTGCGGCTGACACCGATTCCTTCTCCTCCTCTCCTCGCCAGGTGTCTTCAAAGCACCGCTCCTCCCCGCCCGCTCCTCATCACTCCCTCCCTTTCCGCAAAAACAGAGAGAGAAAAACCTAACTGACCTCTTGATCTCTCAGCCTTGCCTGCCACTTCCGTAAGCCCTTGTGGATCCTGAGACATGTCCCCGGAAGTCTCAGGCTAGCATTTTTCTCACGTTAAATCACTGGTTTGCGTCTGGCAGGGCGCTGCAGCGCGCGCCCGGGGTAGTGGCCGCGCCCCTGACTTCGTGGGACCGAGACGCGTGTGGCGCTTGCCTGCGGCGGCGTGCAGGATGCCAGCCGCCCCGACCTCAGCCCGGGCGCGTCGGGGGTGCCCCACAGAGCCTTTTTCATAGGAAGCAGCGTGAGAGGAGGAGGAAGCCGGCGGGAAAAGGAAGCCTTGTTTTTCTCCTCTTCGTCTGGGGATGAATCATGTTCCCAGCACCGCCTTTAGGTTTTCAAGCCTCGGAGGTTGCTGGTGCTGAGGAAAAGGCCAGCCGTGACGTTCCTGAGGAAGGGAGGGAAGAGGGGCCGCGTTCCAGAAGGGAGGGAGCACGAGGAAGAAGGGGCCTTTTTTTTTCCTTCCTGCTTTCACTCTGCTGTCATTAGATCTTTTCAACTGAAATCAGAACCAAGCCCTACTGCCTGGCGAGCAAGAGGCTGACTAGAGACTCTTTCTCTGAACAGACTCTCAGAATTTCAGCTTGCCTGCTTGCTTTTTTTTTTTTTTTTGCTGTGAAGGAAATACTGCTTTTCCTTGCTTTTGTTTTTTTAAGCAAGAGGAGGTTTTCATGAGAAAATTTTGTCCCGCCATCCCTGTGAAGTAGAGCTGTCTTCTCTTCTCCTCTGCTTGTCTTTTCCCGACAAGGTACATACTGGATTTTTCCTTGCCTGCCCTGGGCTGTTCCCCGCCACGTGCGTCGGCCGGCATGCATAGCCCGTTAAGCCTTCATTTTTCTCCTGGAGTTATCGCCCTTGATGGAAACAGTCTGTGCTTCTCTCTCCGTCAAGATCTGACTAAAGTATAGCATCGAGGGGCGTTTACTGTGGATACTGTGAGTTGTGCGTGCATCACCCCGGGGCTCAGGCACTGCCAGGAAGTTCTCTGTCCCGTGAGGGACTTGGGGTTCTGTGTGGTTTGACCCCCTTGAGGCTTTCTTCATAGAGGAGTCCAGACGGCAGAAACCCCAGCCAGCTCCCCGTGAGAGGTTCAGACCTGGGGGTTTGCGGGCGCACCCTGACCCCCCCAGGTTACAGTGGGTCCCGCTCCTGCATCTCGTGTCCTCTCTTCTGCGTTTGGACAAAATGTATGAACGGCACAAGAGGCGCTACAGCCTGTGCGACATCTCCAAGGTGGACAGGACCGTGGACGTGGTACTGCTGAAGGTAAGGGGCCTTGCCGCAGCCTCTTTCTGGCTCTGCATCCAATAGTTGGGTCCCTGGCCACCCTGTATTGGGAGAAAAGCTGAGAGGTGTATATGTGTGTGCGTGTACAGAGGGGACTGTGGAGTTGGGTTGGTGATCTTAAGGCTCTTAGCAGAATATCTGACCAGAAACAATGGGGACTTAAGAATCATCAAGTCACTTAGGTTTCAGCGTCATTTTACTTGCTTTAAAATGGATTCTTCTGCTCAAGAGAACCTCCTATTCTTGTAAATCACAGGTGGAGAAGTTCACTGTCCGCTGCTCTTTCCCAGAGAGGTCTGTGTCCCTCTGCCCTCATCGTCCCCGCCCCGGGGCCCGTCTGTAGAGTCATCATTATCTCTCGGTCTCTCCCCTTCTGCCTCTGTCTCCTAGTCTGTCCTTTGCCTGACTTTTTTTTTTCCTGCTGTTTCTGCCGTCTGTACTCACAACTCTTGGGGGAAAGACAGTACTTATTTCCTTTGGAAAGATCTCCACTCAGTCTGTTTATCAAGGTGGCACAGTGGCCGTTTTGGGTTGGTTTGACTGCTTTACAGGTCTCGCCTCTTGTCTGTTAACTGCTGTGTTTGTTTTCTCTAGCTAGTGATGCTGGCTGTCTCCGGCAGGATGGGGGTGGGGCCTCTGGACGGCTAATTGCTCACAGAAGGCATCCTTGGGTCTAAAATTAGTAAGAACGCCTCCAGCCATAAGGTGGGAGTCTGGGAATGTTGGACGACTCTGGGAGCACTTTTTGGAAGTTTAGCCATTTTCTGGCAAAGGCAGGGGAAACTGGAAGCCAGCCAAGTGCTTCAGAGTTGCCAGAGAAGCTCAGTACCTGAGCTGACGAGGGTGTGGAGCCAGAGGTGTGCAGGCACAGTAGGAATGTATTGACCCGGTCCAGGAGGTAGGGGAGCTCTCGCATTGATTGATCAGTTCAGTTTATTACTTGAGACTCCCTCATTTTTTCCACTGATCCATTGAGGCCAAGCATGGCTCAGAGAGCTAGACACAGATGCCAGTGAACTAAGACCGCCACACGAGTGAGGGGCTGGTGGCGGGGTTGTGACTGTGGAGAGCTGCTGTCTTGTCCCTCCATAGCCTCTATCAGCTGGCTCTCTGACTTGCCAGGGCGAGGCTCAGAGCAGTGGGCAACCTGGCATTTTGAACTTAATCCAAGATCTTATTCATCTTAGTTTCTCTGAAATGTGAGCTCCGCTGTGAAATCACAGTGATGTTTGTTTGTTTTGTCCTCCTTTGTCTGGAAGAGTATAGTTGTCAGGACCTGTACGTGCTTGACTCTATGATGTTGGGCTTCCCAGGTGGCGCTAGTGGTAAAGAACCACCTGCCAGTGTAGGAGATGTGGAAGACGAGTGTTCAATCCCTGTGTTGGGAAGATCCTCTGGAGGAGGAGATTATAACCCACCCTAGTATTCTTGCCTGGAGAATCCCATGGACAGAGAAGCCTGGCAGGCTACAGTCTATGGTTACAGAGTCAGACACGACTGAGCACTTTGCATGCTTTATGATGTTCCCTGTTTGGGGAGAAAATGGAAAGAGGGGAGGGAGGATAGAAAATCTCAGTATCACAGGAATGTGGTACATTTAAGACCATGCTGAAATACGTAATACTCTCCACTCTCACAGGGCATGAAAGCCCTTAGTAGTGGAGCTGACTCAGCACAGGCTTACTGCCTTCATAGATGCTGTTTTACGGTTTTATATACGTTCATTTGAGACGATTGGTCAGGCAGCAGTGGTCCCCACACCCCTACCCAGACTCCTTTTCTTAGGAAGAGTTTGAGGCATCTCCTGAGCCCGGCTGAAGAACGTTAAAGACTTAAGTGATGTGATGTGTTTTTGTCCCCCCCCCACACACACACAAGGCCACAGCACATAAAGGACATAATTAGTTTTCTCTCTCTTGCTCTCTTTGTTTTTTGGATGTGCCTGTATTTGTTTTTTTTTTTTTTTTTTTTTTTTTTTTTGCACCATACTGCCTTTACATAACCAGAATTTCAGTAGAAGAAACTTCACTTCTCAGAAAGCAGGCATTTATTACAAATAAGGAAGATGAGGTGGGCAACTTAGGTGCTGATTCTTTGCTTTGAAGACAGAGAAGGTCACGTCACTGGGAGATCGACACGAAAACAGTATTAATGACTTGTTCAGTGTCAGGCGTGGTGCTCGGTCCAAGGGGCACTGGGTCTTTAAAGTTCCCATATTGCTTAAAGACAGGCAACAGACAAACAGAAAATACACGTTACTGTAAGCGACTTGATAGAAATAAACAGTGTGCACTATAAGAAGTGATGGGAAGTCATTTCAGGTAGATCATTCTGAGGTTCTGACATTTAAAAAACTGGTCTCCCGAGAATTAGAAGACGCCAGCGCTGCCCCTAGGGAAGGCGTTCTAGGAAGGATTGGCAGAGGCCCTGGGGCGCGGAGGGATGGGGAAGGCCACGGTGATGGGAGAGCCCTGGGCAGGCCGGGCCTGGAAGAGCCAGGCCTTGACCCATCGTGAGGGGTCTGCTTTGCTGGGGTATGTTACTTCTCAGCTTACGTTTTCAAAAGGTCATTCTGGCACGTGGGAGTCTCTTAGGCTGCCATTATAGTAGGCCAGATGCTATGGAATGGCTCTGTGGTCTCCAGTGGGCAGGCACTTAATCTTTACATCCCTAGTATTCATTTCATCTTATGGGGAAAAACATTTTTGGATAGTTGGTAGTTTTCTCACAGTTCATCCTAGGTAATAGGATACAACCCCAGACGTAATTCTTTTCAAAGCTCATGTTCTTTCTTAGTCCCCTAGACTTCTTCTTTGAGTTGGCCAACACTTTTATTTCATGAATGTTTGTATCTGTATGTATCTTTTAAAGTTTTAACTGCTAAGACATTTTCAGTATGAAAAGTTGATATTCACTTCTTTCCTGGTTATGGGGATTCCTTCTACAGCACTTTGAATTCAGATATGAACCCACCATTTTTAGCAGCCTTTCCCCCACAACTATTTTTTTTTTAATTCATTTAGAAGTGGCCTCCTCACTTATCTTCCATTTTGAATTTCAGTTTTTTTAGATCAGTGTTTTTAAAAATATATTATAATGGATGTATGTGCTACTTGAGTTCCCAAGTGGCCATGCACTATGTTCCCAGTGGAAGATTTTTTTTTTTTTTAATACCAAGGAGTTTGTAATTTTTTTTTAATCTATTCATTATGTCTAAGCACTCAAAACAGTGTCCCTATTCGTGTTAAATGCTCAATAAGTTTTGTTTGTTGAATGAGTTAATCTGTTAAGATTTGTAAGTATGGGTTCATAAAGCATCATGGTATGCAAACTGTACTTAATGTGCTGGGATGGTTGGGGTAAAGAGCAGAGAGATGAGTGAGTTGTGACAGTCGTCACAAGATTTGGACCGTGACCCTCTCCTTCTGGTATCATAACGTTTACAACTCCATTCCTTCCCACTGGCATCCGAATAATTCACTGTGGATTAACTTGAAAATCTTATCCTCTGTTATATGCCCCTCCTTTCTGAGACTTACTCTGCATTCTGACCCATTCCCTTTGTCAGTTCTGTTCAGTGACTTTCATGGGAGCTCTTCTGCATCAAAGCCTTCCCTGGGGATTTTTCCCAAGGCTGGGTACACCAGTCTTTATCCTCACATCAGCCGTTGCTTCCCATCGTCACACCCAATAGATGCTGAAGTCTTAGCTCCTTCTTGAATTTTTTTTTCTAATAATAAAGTAGGTTATTAGTATTCTTGGCTCTGCCATTCCAATACACACATACATACATGTCACTCCTCACAGTATCCCCCAGTGCCTGTGTGACTTCTGGCTTCTTATAGTAGGTAAATGGTTAGTAACTATGAATTGTGTGCACAGAATGGGATACGGAAGAATTTGAATCATTGGCAAATACCCTTTGGTATCAACAGGCCCATTTTCTTCAGCCAGCATCTTTCAAAAGCCTAGTTTTGTGTCTTTTTGTTTGGGGGGCTGCACTGGGTCTTTGCAGGAAGAGAGCTCCCATTGGCGTATGCGGGATTCTCTAGTTGCGGCGTGTGGGCTCCGTAGTTTGCAGCGGGGCGGCTCAGTAGTTGTGGTGCCTTAGCTGCCCCTCCACGTGTGGGAATCTTAGTTCCCTGACCAGGGATGGAACCCCAGTCCCTTCCATTGGAAGGTGGACTCTTAACCACTGGACCACCAGGGAAGTCCCTCTAAAGCGTATACAAGTTGGTGAGAGGAGCCTTTGTCTTCACACAGTTCGGTAGCTAACTCATGATCACATTAAGAGACTGTTCAAAAAGACAAAGCACTTTGGAAATGTGAAGAAGACAAAGTGTCTTCTTCAAAGACAAAGAAGTCAGAATCCTAGTTCAGCTACTGACTTTAATCCAGGGACCATTTCCATTTCACTAGTTTTATTACTTTGGGTACTTGCAAAAATATTGCCTACTAGTAACAACATGATTCTTCCTGCTGCTGATGATTTACTGACAGCGTACTTTGTAACTAGTAAGTCAGAGTAGCAGATGGATGGTGAAAACATTTGCAACCAAGTTTTGTGGACACTGAGTGACGTGTGTAAGGAGGACGACAGCCTCCTCCCGTCCGTGATGCCCAGGCAGCCCACCTGGCCTCATTAGTGAGCATGCAGGAGCAGTTGTCTGTAAGCCCAGTGTCACCTTCCAGGAAATACACATCCTTTAACAAGTTTACTTGCTCAAAGACACTTGCATGCCGCTTTAAACAAAAGACGTTAGGAGGCAAAAGACAACTGAAGACAGCCCTGCCTGTCTGCTCAGTTAGAGTCTGGTCCCTGAAAAGGCTTTTGACTCAAGTGTTGGCTGCCCTGTCCGGATGGTGGGGTTTCTGCTTCCTTTTGTTCAGCCTTGTAACTCCAGCTACATCTCCTGAGACATTTGCAGAGGAAGTTAGTACAGGCAGTGACTGGGAAGGCTGGGTGTAACCATGAGCTG